CCTCTGGAGAAGTCTGATGGTTTCATTTTGTTTAAAGAGGGAGTCACCCTGACTGAAGGGTTCAGTGCCCAAATTCTCTTAACTTCTGTAAGTGGTAAATTCTTCTAATGCCTCTTCAATTTTCAGTGCCTTTATTAATGCTGCTTAGCGGGTGGCTTTGTATGTGGAGATCAAGGGTAAGTGTGGGATCTCTCTGGTTTAGACACAAAATTAGGTTCTTTTTCTAGCTCTCACCTCCCTGAGATTACTCTTACATTACACTGTCACACGGGAGCTGTTCTTGGTACAGTGGCCAGAAAGTCCGATCTCCTGTATTTCTGCAGTTTCACAGCTAGAGATGCTCTCAGATCAATTTGGTATGAAAGGGGTGGGGGGCAAATAAGTAGGAAACTCCCTCTCCCTCTTTCCCCCTCTCTCTCCCTCTCTCTCTCTTGCTCTCTCTCGCTTTCTCGCTCTCTCTCGCTCTCTTGCTCTCGCAAGGCAGGTGGCGGAACCACTGAGCTAAATCCCTGGCCTCTCACTGTATGAATAGCTGCTTCTAATTTTGATTTTCCTCCCCAACCTACCTGCTTTAACTTATTTTTCTTTTTTTTTTGGACTTATTTTTCAAAGTCCTCAGGTAGTTGTTTTTTATACTTTGCCTAGAGTTTGTAGTTGTGATCAGTGGGAAACAGGCTATAGTAGTTCATCTTAGACAGCACAAGAATTCTCAATTAATATTCATTCATATTCTATCACCCTCTCTCCCTCTCTTCCTCTCTCTCCACTCTGAGAGAGATCTTTTTCTTTCCCCTTTTATTCAAAAAGGACACTTTTGCTAGGTACATAATTTTCAGTACTTATATGTTCTTTTCTTTCAGCACTTTGAGGTTAATTATTCCATTGCTTCTGGCTTGCATGTATCTAATGAGAAGTCACCTATCAGTCTTACTGTTCCTCCTTTGAACAAGATAAAATGTTGTGGATTTTAATTTTTTTTGGCCTGGCAATGTTTTGTTTGTTTTTGTTTTTTGCCTGGCAATTTTAAAGATATTCTTTTTGCTTTTTGTTTTTGTTTTTAGTGGTTTTACTGTGCTATGCAAACATACATTGTTCTTCATTATTTTTCCTTCTTTTGAGTTCAGAGTTTCCTGAATCTCAGAATTGATGTCTTAGTCACAATTGGAATATTCTCAGCCATTATATTTCTTTTAAGAGTTTTTTTAGTTGGCCAGTGTGGTGCATATTTGTTAATTACTGCTTGTTCTTGAATTTCATGTAAATGGAATCATATAGTAGGTAGCCTTTTTTGTATCAGGTCTATGTGATCATCATTGCATCTTTAAAATACATCTATTTTCCCTATTAACAATTATGTTTAATGCTTTCGATATTCCTCTGTGTGGATGTATCATTATTTATCCAAACTATGATTGAAGGGCATTTAAATGGTTTCTAGTTTTTTGCTGTGGTAAGTTTTCATGTTAAAAAAGTCTTTTGGTGGACATGTATACTCATTTCTCTTTGAATACATTTAGAGATTATGAGTGAAATTATGAGTCTGTTGCATAGTTTATTTTCAGATCTACTAGATATTTCCATTGACCATCATGTTTTCAAATATTTATACATGTTAGTCCTTTTCATTGAATATACATTTTTGTTTGTTTGGTTTTTTTGATACAGGGTCTCACCATGTAGTTGAGACTGCCCTGGAACTCACTATGTAGCCCAGGCTGGACTCGAACTCACAGTGATCCTCCTGCCTCAGCCTCCCGAGTGCTGGGATTACAGATGTGTGCCGCCATGCCCAGCAAATCTACATGCTTTATTTTTTTAACTTCTTCTTTTTTTTTTCCATTTTTTTGTTTTTTTTTTTTTTTTTTTTTTTTTTTTTTTTTTTTTTTGATACCAGGTATTGAACTTGGGTCCTTGCACTTGCAAGGCAGGTCACTGAACCGCTGAGCTAAATCCCCAGCCCTGTTTTTGTTTTCTTCATTTCACTGTTTTGTTCTTCCAAAGGGGTCTTATCTATTAATTTATCTTTTGAGGTCATTGAGTTTTTCAGTTTTATAGTTGCATGTGTTTATTAATTATTAATTTCTGGACATTTACAATTCCAAATTTTGCCTTTTAAATTTTTTAATAGATCAGGTGTGTAAGAACTCACATATTTGTATTCATTGTGATTTCTGTTGTCTGTTTTTATTTCAGTATTGCACATTGTATGTTAAAAAAGCGGTTGAAATGATACAAAGCCTATGATGATGTTTCTAACCACTAGAGGCAAGCAACTATGAGTGCTCATGTTTGTAGGAATTAAGATTTATATACAGTCAGGAAGTTGGATTATTTAAGATTGTTACCTTACCCTAGGGAAGTGGTCGCAAACCTATGGCCCGCATGCTGCAGTAGAATGTTTGTGTCATTGAAAGTTCTAGAGGGTTTGTCTTCACTGTTGGCCTGTGGGGACTTAATCCAAAGTGCAGGATGTTTACCTTTTGCTTGGTGGATTATGGACTTTCACTTTTGTCACTGTCTTGGGGCTGTTAGGTGCCCTGCTAAATTTCTCAGTGTCATGCGTTTCTTTTGGAATCATGCTTCTAGAGAACTGATTCAGATGTTACATTCCACTGTTCATGTGTTCTCAACCTCTTCCTTGGCTCTGTGATTTCGTTTTGCTTCATTAGTTTTCTAATGCCTTCCCGAAAACATATATTTTTAAATTTAAAATTATATTTACTTAGAAACATTCAGAATGTGAAAAACAGCTGCAACTTTTTTTTTTTTTGCAATTACAGAGTGGTATTCAGTTAACAGAATAATTATTTCATATAAGCTGCTTCAGAGATAACCGAAGATGAAAAACTACCATCCACATATATAACCAATTTGTGCTGTGCACCATCATGAACCTGCTTTAAATTTCCATGATAATTTACAACCCCCATATGTACCAGGCAAGGTTAATGGCTATTGAAATACCACCAGGACAGGGTTACCTAAAGACACATTGGTAGTGTGTTAACTATACCAAAAAATAAAAAAGACACTGTACAAATCTTATATAGCCTTACATTTCAGTTTTTTTCTTTAAAAGGAGTGAGTTGTATATGGGGCCTTATGCTTCATAGATAAGGGAAAAAACCTACTAGAACCAACTTATTCATCATCTTCTTCATCTTCACCCTCTTCTTTCTCCTCATCCTCTTCATCTTCTTCATCTTCCTCCTTGTGTTAGTTACTTTTCTCATTGCTGAGACCAAATACCTGACACCAAAGTTAGAGAGGAAGGGATTTATTTGGCTTAGAGTTTGTGGATGTGTCAGTCCATCATAAGCTGCTGGCTCAAAGGTGGGAATGACAAACAGGCATGGCAGAGTACAAACAACATGCTGTGTGCAAGGTAGCAAAGGTAAAAGGTAACAAGAGAGATCCTTAAAGGTGTATCTCCCTGCCCTTGTTATCTCATTCAGACTACTGGGGATAAGGGCGGTATCTAATTGATAACTCATAGTAGTGGTTTAGTAATCACACACCCTTAACCTCAGCATCACACATTCCAGATTCAACTACTTCTGAAAAAGAAAATCCTAACCTCATCCGAATGAGGCTTTGTGGACATCCAAATACAAACCATAACACTCCTCTTCCTTCTTTTTCTTGCTTTTTGCAGCCTTGACAAATTCCTTTTTTGCTGCATCATGTTTTCCTTTGGCTCAGTAGTCAGCAATATCCTTTTCATACTTTTCCTTCAGCTTGGGAGCTTTCTTCTCATAAGGCTGCTTGTCATCTGCTGCAGTGTTCCACATTTTCCCCAGTTTCTTTGGAGAGGCCAGGATGTTCTCCTTTGATTTTTGGGTGATACTTGGAAAAGAACAAGAAGGCCAAAAGGAAGCATATTGGGATCCTTGAACTTCTTTTTCCTTTCTCCTTTGGGAGGGATATAGGTTTTCATTTCTCTTTCATAATGGGCCTTGTTTGCCTCTGCCATGCATTCAAATTTTCCTTTTTCTTTCAGACATGGTCTTCCACCTCTCTGAGCACTTCTTAGAAAACTCTGAGATGTTAATGGAAACATCTGGGTGCTTCATCTTGTGCTCCTCTTGGCAAGTTTGTACAAAGAATGCATATGATGAGGGTTTTTGGTTTTTTTTTTTTTTGCTTCTCATCTTCCTAGGATCTCCTTTGCCCAGATTTACTTGTTTTCCTCACCAAGGCACAGTCTCACTTGCCCCGGTGCTCTCTATGGAGTTTAATGTACTGCTGCAGTGGCTCATATTTTATATTTTTAAAGTTTTTCTAATTCTCAGTAGTTTGGCTCATATTACCTAATCTGGCACTATTAGAAACACAATTTGTAAAATTATTCAAATATCTAGACAAAATTATTTCCATATGTTTTAAGTTTTTAATGTATGAATCATTAATTTTTAAATATTTATCTCCCCTTTGAACATTAAAACTAATCCAGAGGAGTTTAGAGTTCAGTGATATTAATAATGTATGTATATCCCTTCAGCACCCCACCTAGAACTAGGCATGGTAGTGCATACCTGTAATTCCAGCTACTCAGGAGACTGGGGTAGGAAGATAAAAAATTTGAGGCAAACCTAGGCAAGTTAGTGAGACCCTGTCTCCAAAAAAAAAAAAGAAAAGAAAAGAAAAGAAAAGAAAAGAAAAGAGAGTCCTGGAGATTTATTTAGTGGTAGAATGACTGCCTGTCATTCACAAGGCCCTTGGTATAATCCTCCAGCCCACCTCATGTGGGTTAACATCTCCATAGAGATTCATGTTATGCTGTTTGTTCCTTTTGTGGCAGCATGTGGCTCTGGGCCTTTGTAATGCCTCGGGTTATCTGAAAGGTTTCAGCATACTTGGCACACAGCATATGCACATACACCTGTTGAATGAGTGGTAAAAATAGTAATTCTGGAATCGGAATAATGAGGAGATGGCAGAGTCAGTTTCAGAATAACCAGTTTTCTAACTACATTTTCCATATATACACTTTTGTTAAGATCTCTGCCCTTGTCCTGAGAGCCCAAGCTTCTGAGATCTTACTTGAAGAGTTACAACAGAGTTTTTCCCAGGCAAAGAGGGATGTTCAGGAACAGATGGTAAGTCAATATTTTAAATACATATTGTTTGTGTTGTATTTATTCTTCTTTGTTCTTCATTGACAGCATCTTTGATGTGACTTATCACCCTGCTCAAAGCAGTTACTGCTGTTACATCTCCAGGGCTCATATAGAGTGGTTCAAAAATACTAAAAGACTGTTTGTTTTTTTTTTTTTTGGTACTGGGAATCGAACTCAGGTCCTTGCTCTTGCAAGGCAGGTGGCAGAACCGCTGAGCTATATCCCTGGGCCTATAAAGACCTTTTTTTGAAACTGACCTCAAAACAAAAGGGTGAGGGCCAGGGATTTAGCTTAGTAGCACTGTGCCTGCCTCACAAGCACAAGGTCCTAAGTTCAATGCCCAATAACCCCCCACAAAAAAAGGGTAGGGGATAGGGGGAGGAAAAAGCCCTGCCCTCTTAGATAATTCCTCCACCAAGAAAAATCTTATCTTTAACTCAAATTTATTTTTTTGTGGTAGGAAACCTATCTAGAATTAACTCCAGACCAATATTTAATTTTAAGTTCCAAACATAAGCTAAAAAGGTTAAAATCTCTCGAGTACTAGCTAGTATCTTTTGAACACTCACTGTGAGTTTTAAGAAATATTTTATTTTTTTCTGGACAGCTAGTCTACTTAGAGTATCCTTGTTATTTCACAAGAATTATGAAAAAAGATGTGTGGTGTTGTGGATTGGAAAAACTTAAAGAAGGCCACCAATTTTGAGAGGGATTGAGACAGCTTGGTGAGCAAGAGCTGGCTAGAGCCTCTGGAGAGTGTCTAGTTCCCAGACTCAGGCCTCCCTCCTCATCACTGTTGCTACATTTGTCTTGTTCTTTTTTCCTCAAAGTTGGAACACTGCATCTAATGGTCCTGGATAATTATGCTAGAGTTAGTCCTACAGGGATGACCATACAGAACTGCCCCTTGTGCAGCTCTTTCAGGGATTACAGTTTACAAAAACAAAAATGGCCATGAATGGAATGGTAATGGTTTGTTTTTGATTATTATTGAGCCAGCATCTGAAAATTCTGTGAGTTGATCTCTGAATCCTAGACCTAGTCTTTTGGGAAGCCTCTCAACATAATCATTGACAAGAGAGTTCAAATTGTTTCTTTAATTAGAAAATACAACATAAGAATAGTTAAATGCTGGTGAAGTTTCATGGTGTTATCCCCTCTTTTTCCTTCTAGTTGTCTTTTAAAGCCTACATGCAGACACTTTTTCAGGGTAATTTCACTCACAATGAATGTATTACCAGTGGCATAGGTGAATTGTTGAGATTAAGGCTGAGAGCCTGTGAACTCAAATACTTTTTATCATTTTCTCAAAATTATCATGAAGAGGGGCCAGGGATTTTGCTTAGTGGTTTGGCTGTCTGGCCCTGTAAGTGCAAGGACTCGAGTTTGATCCCCGGTACCAAAAAAAAAAAAAAAAAAAAAAAAAAAAAAAAAAAAAA